GAAAGCGGCGGTCGTCAGGTCAGGAGCAATCTCCAAATGCACAGCCTTTGTAGTGAAGCAGATAAAAAACTGCGATGTACACCTTAATTGGTGAACGGCCTCTAATTCTTTGAGTAACTGATAGGGGACCACAGTAGTCTACACCTGTAGTTTCAAACGGGTACGATGCTGTAACTCGGCTTGCAGGCAATGCACCCATGATCTGCTCTGTCACGACTGGACGATGTCGGTAGCACATAATACATTTATGAATAACTTGCCTGATAATTGTTCGTGCGCCGATGACCCAGAACTTGTCTCGAAGAATGCTCAATAGTGTTTGAACACCAGCATGAAGATTTGTGCGATGTACATGCGTTACAAGGGTGCGTACGAAGGGATGGGAATGGGGAAGCACGATTGGATGTTTGGCGTTGAAGCTCAGGATCGAGTTTTTTACTCTTCCTCCAACTCGCATTAGTTGGTTATGCATAAACGGTGACAGCGAAGCAAGTTTAGAATTTTTATTTATGGGTTGGTTTTTTAGGAGTTTAAAATATTCATTAGGGAAGTGTACTTGCCGAATTCTTCTGCATACTAGTTCAAGTGTGTCAGCTATTTCTTCGGGTGTGATAGAATATCCACGCACCTTCGTGATGAAACGCTTTACATACGTGAAGATACGCAGAAATTTGTTATAGCTGTTTATGTACTTGTTTTCCGCAATAATATCTACTTCACGTTCGACGACTAATACCACTCGTTGCCTGCGCTGCTCAGGAACATCTGGTTCAGCGGCTAATGACGATCTTGGCCACTCTCCTTGACCAAGCTTCAAAAACGGAGGGCCCTGAAACCAGAGTTGATTTTTCCGGATGCAAGCCACTGTTGTGCCACGAGAAACAATATCAGCGGGGTTCATTTCAGATGGTACATGGTGCCATTTGTACTGGGATGTCAACTGTTGGATTTTGGAGACACGATTGGCCACAAATACTGTCCACCGACTCGGCTCCCCTCGAATTCAACACAATGCAATCAATGAGTCGGTCCAGCAGTGAATGTTGTTCAAGTTAGGTGAAAATATTGCGACAACCGATTGTAGAAGCTCGGCCAATAGCAATGCCGCGCACAGCTCCAGCCGAGGTAGACTAACTTGCTTCGTTGGTGCCACACGAGATTTTGCACATAGCAGGGCGGACGATGTCTCTTTCTCCATGCGCGTCACAAGGTAAATGCAAGCGCCATAGGCTCTGGTACTAGCATCTGCAAAAGCGTGGATTTCAGTTGTGTTATTTATTGGAACATACCTTGGTATTTGAATGTTGTTAATGAGGCACAAATGATCCTGAAACGCGCGCCACTGAGTATAAATGTCTTGAGGCACGCTTTCGTCCCAATCTAACTTCGGCTCCCACAGCTGTTGCATCAGGATTTTGCCAGAGACGATGAGAGGGTTAAGCAAACCAAGCGGATCAAACAAGGCAGCTATCTGTGATAATATGGAACGCTTGGTTGTTTTACGCGATACTGGTGGGCCATTGTAGCAGAAGAAAAAGTCATCTGTAGAAGGAGACCACCTTAGGCCAAGAGTTTTTATGTAATCTGTGTCGTCTAGGTTGATGATTTTTTCTCTGTCGTCTAATGGCACGTCATCAATGATATCCATGTTATTTGCAGCAAATGTGCGTAGAGGAAATCCCGCCCGTTCAAGCATGGCCGTAACTTGCCGTTTGATTTCAATGACCGTGTCAACAGTAGGAGCTCCGGTCATTAGGTTATCAACGTAGAAGTCCTTGAGGGTAATGGCTGATCCTATTGGAAACTCCTCGGCCTCCGTTTAAGCCGCTTCCAGCAGGCATTTCGTGGCAAGATAGGGCGCGCAGCTCGTCCCATATGTAACCGTCTGCAACTGGTACATCTTCACGGGAGCTTGTGGCGAATCGCGCCACAAAATACATTGCCATGGCGCATCAGCATTGTTAACCGGCACCCGCCGGTAGATTTTTGCGATGTCGGCTATCAAAACGTATTTGTGACTTCGAAATCGAATTAGAATCGTGAAGATGTCATCTTGAAGCGTAGGGCCTACTCGAAGCATGTCGTTCAATGATTTTCCACTTAAAGTTTGGCACGACGCGTCAAACACATCGCGTAGTTTTGTGGTGCTGCTGTCAGTCTTCATAACACAATGATGGGGAATGAAATTTCTGCCTTGTTTGCCGTTCTCGACAATTTTCATGTGCTGCATCTGCTCGTACTCATGTACAAACTCGCGATAACTCTTTAGAAGTGAGGGATTCTTTAGTAATTTGTATTTAAGCGCTACTAACCTTCGATACGCTATGTCGTAAGATTGGCCTAGCGTAACTGGATCCTCCTTGAAAGGGAGGCGAACTATGAACTTGCCGCTAACCGGGCACCTTGTCGTAGTGAGCTTGAAGAATTTCTCGCAAGCCAGTTCGTTGTCTGAGAGAATTTTTTGTGGACTGTTGTAGCCTTCAATTGTCCAAAATCTCTCCATCAGGTTATCCAATGGTAATTGATTGTCCACAGCTATGAACGTTTTATATGTAGGCAATGTTGACAACGATGTGAATGATGGAGATGAATTTGTAGTGTGCGATGAATCTGTTGGAGCTGTACCGGAAACAATCCACCCTAATTTGGTCTTCGGAAAGCTGATGTGTCTTTGTCGATGTGGCACCTAAGCCTAAAACTTCATTGCTTCGCTTGGTACGTGGTAGACGTAGGTGTTGTGCAATATGCTCTGTGATGAAATTCAGCTGTGACCCTGAGTCTAAAAGTGCGCGAACAATGAGGGACGATCCCGATGAATTGCACAGGCGAATACGAGCCGTAGAAAGGATGACATCACCGTGAACCTGCTCGGCTTTTATGGCTACTTGCTTGCACTTCGCGTTTTCCGGGCCACTGGTGTTGTTGCTGGTACTATTTGGAACATCTTCGTTTCCATACGTTCTGTGTAGCAATGTATGGTGACTTACGCGACATTGCTGACACCTACGACTGGATGGGCAGTTGCTTGAAGTGTGGTTCTTACCCAAGCAATTCAAACATAGGTCAAGACGCTTCACAAGGAGATATCTATCAAACGGACCCATGGTCATGAACTTTTCACAATTAAACGGGCGGTGGTGAGGGCTATTATCACACAGCAGGCACCTTGGAGTTGAATTCACAGCTGCCAAGGCATACTTGTTATTCGTTGTTGTTTTATTTGAATGTGTTTTTCACAGAGGTTGACGACTGGTTGGCTGGTTTGTTGATTTCAAGCATGTTGAATGTCTGACAGCGACGCTCAAGAAATGTAGCGAGGTCTGCCCAAGTTGGTATCTGTAAGGGTGATGAGCTTCTGCAATTCCACTTGATGGCCACTTCTTCTTCCCATTTTGTGCGAGTAGATGAATCTAGCTTGCTTGTTATCACGTGTAACAAAACTGCTTCACCGATTTGTTCCGAAGACGCTAGCGACTGCATGGCTCGAAGATTGACATTAATGGTGTCGATGAAGTTGCGAAGCGATGAGGTATTCGATGACGACAAATTCGAGAGGTCGCAAATTTGCTGCATATGTGACTGGAAGATTAACCGGCTGTTGTTGAACCGACTGATTATGAGCTCCAGCGCTGCATTGTAGTTGTTGTTTGTTACTTCGAGTGATTATATGAGTCGCGAGGCTTCGTCAGTGAGGCACGACCGTAAGTACTGAAATTTTTCAACCTCTGTCAAGCCTTTGTTGTTGTGCACAAGTGTGGTGAAGACATTGTAGAAGTCCAACCACTGCGACTGCTTTCCGCTGAATTTCGTTAACTGCAATTTCGGAAAATTGATGCGATGTGTGGGTTGGCGCTCCACATGTGTGCTGCTCATATGACTCAAAGGTTGGATTCTTTCAACATAGAATTCGAGAATTGCAGCCTTCGCCTCGACATAACTCTCTTCAAGAATCCCACGATGATTTTCGTTTAGTTGAGATTCATCAAGCTCTTCTAATTGTGTTTGAAATGTGTCCAGCGCACTGTATTGGCGCTCTACCAAGTCCAATTTCGCCGTAAGTTGACGCAACGACGAAGTTTCTCCATCGATAACACCGAGATGCAGCGAACGCAAGCGTGTTAAAAGATTTTCACGCTGATGAATTTTTATTCGTATGTTGCGGGGAATACCTGTTGCTTCTCGCTCTGCTTCGCTGGCGTTGGATGATGCTAAGGAGGCGCCATCATCCACTTGGATTGTCTCAGATTCCATTATGCAAATTTTGTCCGAGATAAATGTTTAAAAAATTTAAATTTTTATGAACCGAATCTAGTCCTCGAGATCCGGCTCGAAGGACCGTGGTGAATTGTAAAGCCTTTTCTACAACTGTAAATCGCTTAACCAAAAAAATCAAAACGCGCTATAAAGGTTTAAATATTTTTATTGGCGACGTCTTCATTTGTCGAGGTTTTTAGAGTAATTAATTCTTACAGCTAAATAGAATATGCATATAAGCAGAAAATTTAAAATATTTCCGTGGAAATGTCCTGCTATTTGACTTTGAATAAATTGAAGGTGAAATGTCGAATGATTCTGTGAAATAGCTAAATTGTACAATGATAAGTGCAAAGAGTATGATGGAGAAGTTGTACTTGTACATACATACATAGGTATGTAAGTATGTGAGTATGTATGTACATATGTACAAACATATGCACATGCATATGCATGGTAAATATGCTGCAGCGACAAACAAAAACGATGACGAATGTGCGAAGACAGTGGGGATAGAAAAAAACTGGAGCTCCAACGAAGACAATAGCTACATATGTAAGTCAGCGATGCTAGCGACGACAACAACAACTGCAAAGATTTGATGTGTAATGTGTGCGTGCGATGAGGGGGTGTGAATGCAAATTCGATGATAGCGACGTTAACTGGAAATGCAGGTGCGGCGACGATGAATTTGTAAGGAGGGGCGTGAACATACTCCCCCCTTGAAAGCATGGCTTTCAATGTGACTCAGCTAAACTCGGGTTGTCAATTGGTAGTTTACATACCTTTGCTATTGCCCGTTTATAGACGCCATCTGCTGTTTTAACTTCTACCACCCTAACGCTGCCATCGTCACCTGGCACAGTAGCTATAATGCGACCCATGGCCCATTTAAGTGGTGGTAAAAAGTCCTACTTTAGTAGCACTAGGTCATTTACTTCAATATTGGGTGAAGCAGTGTTCCACTTCGAACGTTTTTGTAGCTCCTTTAGATAATCTTG